TAAATCATTGTTAGCTGCTGCTCCTCCCCAGCCTTCCATAAATTCATCTTCCTAGGTGTATTCTGGTTTCATTTGTATATCCAGTGTAGCATCTTTTTCCATATCATTCTTGTAGGCTGTCATTTTTAAATCCACTTTCAAATCAGTCTCAGTCTTGTACAGTAAACTTGTTCTTCTTCCATAACCTCTTTTAAACACTATCTATTAATAGCAGACACTCTTAAAATTAACTTCTGAGTCCATTGTTCACAAATATCCTTTAATACTTCCAACGTTAAAGTATTTTGCTTCATTCTGTATTAGTAAGTCAACTTTAAGTGTTCTTTAATTGTGATCTTTAGTTCCTTCTGGTTCCCTCTAGTGTCCAACCTTCAAAGTCCCATCTTATCTTTTTTTTCTTTTAAGAATTCAAAACAACAGCACTTTCTCATGGGAAGGATTCTTATAATTAATTTCAAACTCTTATTTCAAATCCATCTGGACTCTTAGTCCATTTGTAACTGAGCCTTCGCCTCTACACCAGTGCTGACCAGCTTCATCTGAACTTCCTTCCTTCCTCCTTTTTTATCAAAATGTCAGTTTAATTATGTTCCTTGTATCTATCCAGAAAACTGTTGGTATTAACTGGAATATTACATGTTTAATATTAAATAGTTGATACTGAATATTGCTTACTGAACTATGGCAGAGGAGGGATTCTGTTCTGGAGACCATCCTATATGGTTCGATTGGGTTTTGTCAAGTAATTGGATTGGATGTATGGTGGTACCTCTAGTTACGAACTTAATCCGTTCCGTGACTCTGGTTGCAACTCGAGTTGGTCTCAAGTCGAGGTAAATTTTCCCATAAGGTTCAATGTAAATACGCTTAATCCGTTCCGCCCTCCGAATCTGGTCGCACCTCGAGGCAAATTTCACCCATAAGGTTCAATGTAAATATGGCTAAACAGTTCTGAAACATATGCATTTTATTTTTAAACGGGCTGGAGCTGGTCGTATCTCAAAAATTTCATAAGTAGGGGCGTTCGTAAGTAGAGGTACCACTGTATTCTGTCAGAGAAGCTGCAAAAGGCACTTCTGAAAAATATTCCCTATATCTTACTCTGGTTTCAGAGGTTGTTGTCATTCATCTTTTGTGCTTGAAACAAAAATCAGAAGTCTGGTAGCCCTCTTCCAACTATCGTATTTTATTAAAAGGCATAAGCTTTTGTGAACTGCAAGCTCACTTTATCAGATGCAGGGAGTGGTTTAAACTGAAACAAGACCAGCCACTGGGGCGTGTGGCGAGTGACGTCATGCGCACCATGGTGATCTAACACAAATGAACCAAAATACTTGCTTGTTTGTTTGTTTAATACAGTTTAGAATCCGCTTTACCCCAAATGAGTCTGGTTGGCTTACACTTTAAAAAAGTAGGAGCCATAAAGCATGAAAAAACAGATCTTAGGCATCAGAAAGCAAACTCCTTAGAACAAACAAAATATCCCACAGGGGCTCAGCCACCACCCTGCCCCAAGGCCTGGGAGGACAGCCACGTTTTCAGGGATTTTCTTCATCTAATTTGTGTCATGTGGTGTGATGACATCATGATATACACAATGTCGTCATGCTTTCTTCCGGATGCCTTTACCCCCGAAGTTCACATCCAGATTCTGCCTTAGATGCACACTAGAATATTTCTTCTCCCCATCCCACAGGGACAGCTAGGGATGACCTTAGCCTCCTCAGAATACTTTTCATTGTCCCTCAAAGGCTGTGGGGGGCTTGATCTTGTTGCAGGTGCTCCCCGTGATTGCATACCTGGCCATCCCAGTACTCGAGCTTTCTTGCGAAACCGTCGATTTTAAAACCTGCCTGGTGGACCAAACCAGGTCTGAAGGTGTACTTCTGGTGAATCGCAGTGGATGCCGAAGCTACTGGATGGTTTTGATGAGTAAGAGAAACGGAGAACTGATTTTCTTTGAACTGATGCACGGCTCCTTATAGGGAGGGCCTTCTCTTAAATTCTACAGTCTGTTGTTTGCAGACTCTGATTTAAGAGCTGGAGTGTGTTCTTCTGGAATAGAATGGGAATGGAAGAAATTATCTGCAATTTAGTGCAGAGCTTCAGTTATGCTTTACATCTATTTTATTTAATTTTTTCAGAATAAATCAGTAGTATAAATTCATTGAAAGCCAGTTTGGTGTAATAGTTAAAGATGTTGGGCTAGAAACCGAGAGGCTGTGAGTTCTAGTCCTGCCTTAGGCATGCAGCCAACTGGATGACTTTGGGCCAGTCCCTCTCTCAGTCCTCAAAAGAAGTCAAATGCTTCCAAAAACATTGTTAAAAAACCTGCAGGGACTTGTCCATGTAGTTGCGGGGGGGCAAGACTGACTCGAAGGCACTAAAAAAAAAAAAAAATCAATAGATCATGGGTAATTTCAACTGAAATTTTCTGAACAGTAACCATTAGTAGAAGATGATAAACTATCTTCCTTTTAAGAATATCTGTTGAAACTTTGACCAGCACTTCTTAATTCCATTTTAAAGCTGCAGAGGAACGACATAAAGATCCTGAAGTGTTTTCCATCTCTCCAAATAATGGCATTCTTGAAGCACGCAAAGGTAGCACGGCTACCAAAACCCTACTGGTGGTCCGCTTCACCCCGAGGTAGGTCATGAGAAGTCCTTTGTGGTTCTCCTGCATGCCTGCCCCCTCCCAAGCCTCAGACAAAAGGCAGATGGCGAAAACCTAATTTAAGGTGCTGATTATTGATGCATTATGCCCAAGGATAACTGTGCCTTGCTGTAGAAATTGCCCATTAGTGCATATGACTGTAGACTGTCCCTGATTACAGCACAATAACTATCTTACCATTACCCATCTCTCCTTCCTTAACATAAGTAATTGTGTGCAGAGTAGCATTTGCATGGGAAGATGATGAACCTTACCTTTCACCAAAATCAAGCTTCCTAACTAGAAGGTAGAGCTTAAGAATTCTTCCTGTCCCACAGGGGAGACTCCTGCCTTCATTGTTTAGCTGTTTAGGGTGGCTTTCTCTTGGCTCCTCTAAGAGCTGAGAACCAAAACGAGGAGGAGGAAGAGGAGGAGGAGGAAAAGGCACTGCGGGTTGTGAGTGTTGAGCGCACAAACAAGCAAGGATAATCAGCATGCCAAAGACAAGCTGCAGCCAAGAAGCTGTGTAGCATCCGAAGAGCAGAGCCTGAAGCCAGAACCATGACCAGCCTCATAGACCTGGCCAGTCCAGAAGCAGAGGAGCTTCAAGAGACAGTGGAGGAGGCAGACTGCACAGCCAAGTCTCCTAAGAGACTGCACAGCAGCATTCAAGCCCTCCAGGCTATGGTGAGAATACATGAATTGCCTCTTCCTTCTCTCCATTGTGGTGAGAAAACTGAGGAGCATCAGATGAAGTGGTATGTTGAAGGAGGGGAGGGGAGCCCTGGCAGAGCATAAGCCAGCCTTGCAAAGCCTGGCATGGCAGTTCAGAGTCCTGAGAAGAAGAGATCCTTGTTGGGTCCAATCTAATGACACAGACTATGAGAACTTCATCCCTGCTCCACTCCCTTGAGCAGGGCCGTCATTGGAGCTGAATTACAGACAGTGCTGAGCCAGCTCATGGGGAACAGAGGCTGGTCCAGTACAAGCAGGAAGAAAGTGGAACATCAGGTGAGCTCCATCTTCCACCAACTCGTGATCTTCTTCACATTCCCACAAAAAGGAAAGAAGAGAAGAATGTGATCCTCAAAGTCAAAGAAAAGAGGCTCAGAAAGGAACTGTGTTGAAAAAAAAGGAGTTGGAGAGCCATTCTGAACAAGTTCATCAGCCACGAAGTGATTTCCTAGCCTCAATGGAGCTTACACACTCCAATTAGGCCTTCAATCATGGGTTCTTTTTTGTATCATACTCAGTTAAATTGCCCCAGACTTGAGAAAGACCCAAAAGCACTGGACCCTGGACCAGGTGATTCCTTTTATATCTCTCTATAATGGGTGGAGAGTCTTTTTATTTTGTAAAACAAAGGTATTTTATAAAAGTGATGGGTAAAACTTACAAATATACGAGTGCTTCCTATTAACTCTATACTATATTCTATTACTATTACTTTTATACTATCACTATTGCAATTACCTCTATACTTTATTACTATTACTTCTATACTATTACTATTGCAATTACAGTTATCTCTATACTATGCTCTATGCTCTACCAGTGTTTCTCAACCTCAGCAACTTTAAGATGCATGGACTTCAACTCCCAGAATTCCCCA